ATGCAGGAGCAAGAGCAGAAAGGCAAAGGCACAGAATGAGCTCAGACTAGCTAGAGACATAACAGGTAACAAGAAGACTTTCTATAAATATATTAGACACAAGAGGAAGGCCAAGGACAGGGTTGGCCCATTGCTCAGTGAGGAGGGGGAAACAGTAACAGGAAACTTGGAAATGGCAGAGGTGCTTAATGACTTCTTTGTTTTGGTTTTCATCAAGAAGTATGATGATGAAGGAATGCCTAACATAGTGAATGCTAGTGGAAATGGAGTAGGGTTAGAAGATAAAACAAAAAAAGAACAAGTTAAACATCAGTGTCGACATCAAAGGTATTTGTCGACCACCCAGGTAAGCCTCCTGGGATGAGGTTTACCTGGGTGGTCGACAAATACCTATGATGTCACCACCCGCGCGTCCAGACTATCGCGCTGAGCCGACAAACAGCTGATCAGGGTTAGAAGATAAAACAAAAAAAGAACAAGTTAAACATCACTTAGAAAAGTTAGATGTCTTCAAGTCACCAGGGCCCGATGAAATGCATCCTAGAGTACTCAAGGAGCTGATAGAGGAGGTATCTGAGCCTTTAGCTATCATCTATGAAAAGTCATGGAAGTCGGAAGAAATTCCAGAAGACGGAAAAAGGGCAAATCTAGTGCCCATCTATAAAAAAGGAAATAAGAACAATCCAGGAAACTATAGACCAGTCAGTTTAACTTTCTGTGCCAGGAAAGATAATGGAGAAAGTAATTAAGGAATTCATCTGCAAACACCTGGAAGATAATAAGGTGATAGGTAACAGCCAGCCTGGAAGTGTAAAAAAAAATCATGCCAACCCAATCTGATAGCTTTCTTTGATAGGATAAAGAGTCTGGTGGGTAAGGGAAAAGCGGTGGATGTGGTATACCTAGACTTCAGTAAGGCATTTGATATGGCTTCACATGACCGACCTATCAATAAACTAGGGAAATACAACCTAGATGGGGCTCCTATAAGGTGGATACATAACTAGCTAGATAACCATTCTCAGTTCACAGTAATGCTGGAAAGGCATAAAAAGTGGGGTTCCACAGGGATCTGTTTTGGGACCAGTTCTGTTCAATATCTTCATCAACGATTTAGACGATATCATAGAGAGGACGCTTATTACATTTGCAGATGATCCCAAGCCGGGAGGGGTTGCACGTGCTTTGGACAATAGGGTCATAATTCAAAATGATTTGGACAAATTGGAGAAATGGTCTAAGGTAAATAGAATGAAGTTTAATAAGGACAAATGCAAAGTGCTCCACTTATGAAGGAACAATCCATTTCACGCATATAGAATGGGAAGCGACTGTCTATGAAGGAGACCTGCAGAAAGGGATCTAGGAGTCAGAGTGGACCACAACCTAGATATGAGTCAACAGTGTGATGCTGTTGCAAAAAAAGCAAACATGATTCTGGGATTCATTAACAGGTGTGTTGTGAGTAAGACACGAGAAGTCATTCTTCTGCTCTACTCTGTGCTGATTGAGCTTCAATTGGAGTATCGTGTGCAGTTCTGGGCACCACATTTCAGGAAAGATATAGAGAAATTGAAGACGGTCCAGAGAAGAGCAACAAGGATGATAAAAGATCTAGAGAACATGAGCTATGAGGCAAGTCTGAAGGAACTGGGCTTGGTTAGTTTGAAAAAGAGGAGTGTGAGAGGGAACACAATTGCAGTTTTCAAGTATCTAAAAAGGTGTTAGGAAGTTTTTCCTAATGTCCAGCCTAAACCTCCCTTGCTGCAGTTTAAGCCCCTTGCTTCTTGTTCTATCCTCAGAGGACAAAGAGAATGATTCCTCTCCCCTCCTTCCTTAAGTGTCAGGGTGGTTAAATGCAGGAATAAATTGCCTAGGGAGGTTGTGGAATCTCCATCTCTGGAGATATTTAAGAGCAGGCTGGACAAACCTCTATTAGGGATTATCTAGATGGTGCTTGGTCCTGCCATGAGGGCAGGGGACTGGACTGGATGATCTCTTGAGGTCCCTTCCAGTTCTAATGTTCTATGATTCTGTGATCTGTTGTAATTTGGTCTCCCTCTGAAATTTCATAGTCATCTGATTACCAAGGAGAAAGAAACTCAATCACGCTACTGCTGCTTCGAAGCATAACATCTGATATATTTAGAGGCAGTTACTATTTTCAGTTAAAACAAAAAACAGGACTATGCAGCACTGTAAAGACTAACAAGATGGTTTATTAGATGATGAGCTTTGGTGGGCCAGACCCACTTCCTCAGATCAAATAGTGGAAGAAAATTGTCACAACCATATATACCAAAGGATACAATTTAAAAAAATGAACACATATGAAAAGGACAAATCACATTTCAGAACAGAAGGGAAATGGGGGGGGGTGGGTAAATGTCTGTGAGCTAATGGTATTAGAGGTGATAATTGGGGAAGCTATCTTTGTAATGGGTAAGATAATTAGAGTCTTTATTCAGCTACACCAGACTAACACGGCTACATTTCTATCACTATTTTCAGTTAGTTCTTCTCCACATCTTGAGCTGCTCTTCCTTGAGCATTCACACACTTGATGCTGAAATTTTGTTTTTCACAATTTCAAGCCTCTTAGAAATTTCTCATATTGCAAAGGTTGGAGATAGAGAGAGACCAGGCACACTCTGGAACCATCACTACTGCCATTTTTTACTAGGAGCATTTATTCTATATGACATACTTATGAATGCACCATCTCAACACATACTTCTCCATGGCACATGGTACTAACCATTACTATTGTTGGGCTTGAAATATGGTGCAATTGCTTTCCACGAAAACTGTAAGAACAGATTGGAATTAGTTAGCGCAATCTGTAAAAGAGAATGATGCTACACAAGTCCCTCCACACAATTACTATGGCTTGGTGTTTCCTGTCTTATACCTGTCCTAAGCTGTGTTGAGTCACACTACCAGAAATTCTTTGACTCATCAAGCAACATCCATGCTTGAATACATCTATGCAGATGGCTGCTTGCAACACTGGCTCATTAATTTTTGAAAAACCGAACAATCAATTTCCAGCCTAATTTCTCTATCCCTCCACCAAGCTACACAAGTCCTGAGGGTGTATTATTCAAATCTAGCTACAGTCTGCCTGAAGCTTATCTTCAGGCTTGCTAGAACCAGAAAGAGAGGAGAAGAAACAAGCTCTTCTGACTTTAATAACTGCATAAACTATCAGGTTTGCATTAAGACTTGGAGGGACTTGCAATATATGGTTTGTGCTAAATTGATGTAACTCCCTTTCCTAGGATCTGGTTTCAAGGCAATGCTTGAAGCAGCTACTACTGCTCAAAAGGCCATTTTGTAAATGTAAATCTGGGATTATCTGTTCAAATAAAAATGTCCACATTTAAATCCTCTGCTCCCCATCACTTAGAAAATGACTGGGGCTAATACTGAAAGGATCTCTGTGTGTGGAACAAATGGGCAGAAAATTTGCTTTCCAACTTATTTTTTATTAGATCCAAATCCAAATAATTTGCTAGCATCTGTGTACTTAAAAGAAACCAGATGTCCCATTTTAAATCCAGAAAGTGCCCTGAAATTCAGAGTTGCTTTGAGCTGGAAGAGCTTCTGTTATCTTGGACAGGTGGCAAGCAAAATCCATTATAAATCATGCATTGTGGCTCTAAATTATAAAATAAGACCAAAACTTTCATTCCTTTTTAAATCCTACATAAAAATGCCCCTGTGCTTTACGGCAATTTTAAAAATTAAGTTGTCTAACTTGCATATACAATCCTCTTGTTTACATACCTATAAGAGAGAGTGGTGAGCAAGATCCAAAACATATTATACTCATGTACTTCAAACTGGAAGTTTTTCTGAGAGTACAGCTACACTGTGGGGTGTGGGGGTGGGTTTTGGAAGAGGTATGCAAATAGCGCTTTCATTTGCATACCTTCTTCTGTTTTTTTTCTGGAAGAGGCTTTTCTGCCATTTGATCCCATCTACATGGGGCCAAATGTTGGAACCCCCCCCTCTTTTGAAAGCCCCTTTATTCCTTGTAAAATGAGGTTTTACAGGGACTTTTGAAAGAGGGATTTTTTCCTAACATTTGGCCCCGTGTAGATGGGACCAAATAGGGTTGCCAGATACTTTCACACAAAATACCGAGTATGGAGGGAAAAGTATTAGGTGAGAAAAAAAAAGGAGGGGGGCAAAGTTGCTGAGGAAAAGGAAACCCAACAACTGCTTGCAAAAAAAAAAAAAAGTCACTGCACCTTTAAATCTCCCTGCTCCTTCCTCTCCTGCCAGACACTGCAGGGGAAGAATGTCCCATGCGCCTTTTTATCCAAGAAAAACTGAAAATATCTTCTGTTGTTTTTTTTTACTGGACAGAGGCCACAAATACCAGACTGTCCAGGCCAATACCGGACACCTGGCAACCCTAAGGCCAAATGATGGAAAAACCTCTTCCAGAAAAAGCAGCTTGCTTTTTCAAAAAAAGTGGTTGCAGTCTAGATGCTCTCTTTTGAAAGAGGCTTTTAGTCTAGACGTAGCCTCAGGTATGAAAAATTTTGGTCTGTGTTGATAGGCACTATAGAAAAACTAAGATAATACAATACATTCAGGAATGTGATAATGGATAGTTGTTTTGGTTTTGTCTTTTTGAATATTAATTCTTTGCTATTTGCTATTTATTTACTTGTTATTTTTAATAAACATTTCTATATTATAAGAAACAAGCAGCACTTCATAGATTTTGAGCTAATGCCTGTACTGTATTATATTGTAAATAACATTCAGTAATTAGGAGAATGGATGGGGTATGGAGGATGCAGTAAGTTTGCTGTTAGCTCTGGAGCACAGAGATGAAAATTTTGCTTAGGAGACAAGTGGATAAAAAAAACCTGTTTGATTTCATTCAGGTTCCCATTATGAAGGTCACTAACCCACTGCCTATTCATGTGACTGTCATTCTTTGTGGAATAGTAAATCAGGCCAGGAATAATCGTTTTTCTTACTTCGGCAAGATGGAATCTCACAGTATTTCCAATACACTTCATCCTCACAGTCTGCAATATAGCACCAGGGGCTAACATCTCCATCAGGGTTCCTAGCATGGGAAGAAGACATTTTTGTCAAACATTTTTGTGATCCATATACAGATCCTCTATTTTTGTATTAAATTAATCATGATCATAATTATTTTAATTTCTACTGCAGTGTTTCAGCTGGTCTGTCTTTCCAAGAAGACAGTGAAGAACAGAGTGTTAAGAACTGCTGAGCTAATAGATACTGGGAAAATTAAAAGACTTTATAGGTGCAGATTTTTGGTAAATCAGCGAAGATCATAGTATTACAGTAAGGCTGTGTCTACACTGGGCCACTTATTCCGGAAAAGCAGCTGCTTTTCCGGAATAACTTGCCAGCTGTCTACACTGGCCGCTTGCTTTTCCGGAAAAGCAATGACGATCTACTGTAAAATTGTCAGTGTTTTTCCGGAAAAACTATGCTGCTCCCGTTCGGGCAAAAGTCCTTTTCCGGAAAATATGTTCCAGAAAAGGGCCAGTGTAGACAGCACAGTAGTCTTTTCTGCAAAAAAGCCCCAATCGCGAAAATGACGATCGGGGCTTTTTTCCAGAAAAGCGCGTCTACATTGGCACGGACGCTTTTCCGGAAAAAGTGCTTTTCTGGAAAAGCATCCTGCCAATGTAGACACACTTTTCCGGAAATACTTATAATGGAAAACTGTTCTGTTTTAAGCATTTCCGGAAAAGGGTGCCAGTGTAGACGTAGCCTTATAAGAGTTTCAATCTTCTGGTAAAGGCTTAGCTTACTCGCACAAACAAAGGGAATTCTCACTGCCAAACTACTGACTACCCCATTACCCAAGGCAGTGCAGTAAAAGCTGCACTTCTGAGGATTCCCTTGCCTTTGTGGGGTCAAAGGATAACTCCACAAGCCTTGTCAGTAAATGGTAGGAAAGAAACCAAAAGGGCCTTTTTACACAAAATACAGGGAAGTAGAGAATCAATCCCAAAGGGAATGTAGGACCATTGAGAACTTACAACATAGACTAAAATAATGAGAGAAGCCCACAAGCTTTGTCATTTTGGGGAAACCCATTTTACATTCACTGAACATCCAGCTGTCTCAATCAGCCAGTCTCAAAATAAGACTTTCTCTTTCAGTCAACTGGTCCTGCTCCACTGGTAACTCCCTGAGTCAGGAGTCAGAGGATGCTCCAAGGCTGTGTGGATGGGGAAACTCTTGTATAGCTATGTGCTCCTCTGTATTGTGCACTGGGTATAGTGTAGCCTGAGAGCCATTCCAGCACTTTGGCAAGGTCACATTGTGCAGCGGATGCCATTTTGCTCTACAAACGGATGTTTCCACACAGTGACCTTGTACCTGTGTGTTGGGGCAGGCTGTTCCAGCAGCATGGTACATGCACATTCAGGACTACTGCACACCTAGCTTAGCTAGAGGTAGGAAACGCACCTAATATGACCCCCATTACCAGATCCTCACCATCTTTACTGTATTTGCCCTCCAAGTCCGAGCCCTGCAAGGCCTGCCATGCTACTGACCCCCTTTGAGAGACATGCACAGAAAGTAACTTGCCCAAAGGCACTCAGGGTGTCTGCGGTAGAACAGGAGTTTGACCATGGCTCTCCTAAGCACTAGAGCAGCCCTAGATTTTAAAATGAAATGAGATCAAGGACTATTTTGTTCTCATAAGCACAAGGGACTTACGTAAAATATCCAAGGCATCCAGGTGTAACAAGAACCAGCAGCAATGGCCAAATCAATGTAGCCAGACAGGAACCCCCCTGTAACATCCATTTTTGCTTGCCTGGAGCATGCAGGGCACACAGAACAGAAGGCCCAGGCTGCTGTGACTGTGAATGGCTGTAAACAGAGATACGCTAATTGCTGACCAAGAAGCTGCCAAAGAGTGTCCTTGACTCAAACCCATATTGATACGAACACACAGGCGTCCGCGGGGGGAGGAATCTCTTGCCCAGTAAAAGAATATCCGGCACTCCTAATTTAGCTATCTTCCTCTCTTGCAAGTGTAAATTAACTTGAAACTTGTTTGTAAGAACTGGCGCCACAAAACGGACCAGTACAATTTGGCCTCTTAGAGTAAATGTACTGCTGGACCCATCTTTATACCCCTGGGGACCTGTATCCTCTTTCTTATCTGAGTGTCAATCTACCATCTATCTGCTGGTCGGGTTAGGTGTTTGATCTCCCGAGGTTCCAAGGGGACGCCTACCTCATATTCGTCTTTCCTAGGAATTGAGAGACCGGCCCTGGCCTGACAGGCTGGAGTCGAGAGGCACAGAAAGGGGTAAAAATTGTACCTGGATGTGGTCCTTTGTCTTAAGCGTACACATAGATTTAGAGCTCTTTAAAGATTAAGCTGTCACTTGGTACCATTATTTCTATTTTCGATCTTTATTTTCTTTGTAACTATTTTTTTTAAATCTATATTTGCTAGCAGTTAAGAAATAGAGCAATAGCCATTGTAACCATAAGATCTGTATTTGCTAGCAGTTAAGAAATAGAGCAATAGCCATTGTAACCATAAGATCTGTATTTGCTAGCAGTTAAGAAATAGAGCAATAGCCATTGTAACCATAAGATCTGTATTTGCTAGCAGTTAAGAAATAGAGCAATAGCCATTGTAACCATATGCTTTTATGTCTTTTTAATAAACCTGTAACTGTTTAAGCTTTAACCTGACTCCTTCAGTTGCTGTAACAGAACCAAGCACAATTTAAAAGAACTTCAGCCAGTCAAAAAGGACAGGCATAGGAAGAGCTTGGGCGTTTGGATTTGTGTCACTCCCAGGTGGCAGATCCGTTGGGGTACCTCTCAGTCTTTCCCAGGCGGCCTGCTGCGAAGGAATCTTGCATTATAGCAGCTAAAATCTGAGGTGTAATAAGCTCTTCCTATAAAGGGGCGTCTGTTGGCCTGTTGGCTGCCCTCTGCGACGGGACCCCAGTCCTAGCAGTAAAGACACGGACGTTAAACCTTTTCTCGGAAACACACACACACTGCCCTGACCGTCGGCTGACAACCATCCAGCCCATGCTTTTTATACCTGACATGGAGCATGTGCTATTTCTGAGATACCTTTCTGAGGAGAGGGCCAGTCATTCTCTCCCAGGTTAGGCTGTGGTTGGCTTGTGATGTGGATTTCAGAGCTGGGCTGACATGCACCTTTATGCTAAAGCTGCTTGAGCATGCCTGCAGATGCTAGAGTGAAGGGAACTGGAGGTGGGATGTAAAGATGTCTGTCTGATAGCAGAGTGTTGGCTATTAGCTCCATTGTGTGCCATCAGACTTTCAGCTTTGCGTCAAAGGCCAAAAGAGACATTAGATGTGCTGGCAATGTTAGCAGCAGTGAGACTGCTCCTTACCTGCAATAGTTGTGCTCTCCAAGCCCTCCTTCTCCATGGGGGATACTTCCAGGTATTGTAAGGATGCTGGAAAGTCTCATTCCAGAACACACAAGGTCTCCCCCCATGCAGGGCAGTTTGGTTCTGAGTGCCCCGATAGTCCACCCCATTTGCTGTGTAACATTCTAGAAAATGAAGAGAGAGTGTGTGTGTCATTTTAGGCAAAGTTTGTCCCCATTTTCCCTTTAATTAAACTGTTCTTGCATCAGTTCAGGCTGTAGAAGACACTGTCCAGGATGTCAGTGTTTCTTTAAATTAAACTTAGCTTGACTGGTTTTCATATGACTGAAAATTACTTTTATTATATTCCATACACCATGTATTAATGTGCTCAGATGCATCCTGAAACTAAACTACACTTTTAAATAAATGACCAAACCATATTTTGTGATATCCTCTTATTTTGTAAAGGATTTACCCCTCACTTTATTTGTGCAAAATGTGTGAAATTCAGTGATGTGATGGGGCTCCCATTTCTCTGGCCACATTGCTGAGTTTTGATTGCATTTTGACTAAATGTATTAGTTTTTAAACAAAATCTTTAATCACCATGCGAATGGAAAAGAGACTGTGGGACCAGGGAAAATGCCACTGGGGTGGGCTGGGTCTTAGCAGGGAGCTGGCATGAGTGGCCGTGTGGAGAATGCAGAGTGGGCAAGAATAAGTGGCAGGCTGCCAGCAGATGATGGTTTTATTTCAAGGATTCTGGTGGTTAACATTTTTTACACATTACCCAGAGGATTCTTCTAGGGATTTTTTTTTTTGTATCTCCGGCTTGTGTTTGCTTAGGGGAAGACTTGTGCCCACAGAACTCGTGAACACAAAACTTTTGCTACCCCAGCAGCTACATAGTTCAATTTTCAAAGCTCCCAGATGACTTTCTTCCTCATTCATTAACATTTACCCTAGATTTCCCTGTTTTTCTTAACTTACCAGCATTTAGCAAAGTAGCTGTTAATGTGAAACAAGAATCAGCAGTAGCTCCAAAATCCTCACCTAAGATATCCCATTTCCCTGTTAAATCAGAATTTTGACCTTATTTGAATTTATATTTTCCTACTAATGACACAAATTGACCAAATGTAAGCCCCCATACACACATAATTGTACCATAAACTGACAACACAATACAATTTTTCTATTAATTATATAGTATTCTCAAGAAACAACCATTATAAGTAACAAACTAAAAAAATTCCTCTTGCCAATTGATAAATGTAGTAATTAGTAACATTTCTCATTTAATTGTTTACTTTAAAATAATTAGGGTCTGATATCAGCATGGTACACCCCTTGGCTCAAAGTTAAAGTTGCTGTGTTTTACTGACCAACATTTTTTGTGTGTGGCATCAGAACAATGGGGGAGCATGACTGTACAACATCTGGTTGATGTGGCATCTGCTGCCTCTTTTCTTCCCCACTGCCTGGTGCAAGGAAGTGTGTAGCCATTCTGGGTGCTGGCCCTGAGATGGTTTGTCAGCATTACAGCACTTCAAACACTCCACATTCCTTCTGCATGCAGTTTGTATATGCAGCTGGAGTGCCTCTCATCACAATGTGCCTATTATGTAGGCCATATTAAATGTACTACATCCTTAACTCTTTATTCCTGTGATGAAGTGCTTGGGATGTATGCGTAATATGATAGTGTAATACCGCAGGGCCAGAGAACAGCAGCAGAGGGATAGAGGGGAGATGTATAAGCACTAGGCTAATTAAGGCCTGGGTCCCTGCACACTAGGGAAGGTTACAACAGGTTAATACAGGCACCTGTAGCCATGTAAGGCCGCCTCAGGAACCTAAGAAAACCCCCTGCTTCAGGCAGACAGGGTGGAGGGAAGAGAGAGGACTGGAGTTGGGAGGTGTGTTGCTGAGATTTGCAAGACCAGAGAACTAGAGGAGGGAGATCTGTCTCTGGTGTGAAGGGCTGGGGGTAGCCCTACCCAAGACGTGGGGGAGGGGTAAAGAAACGGGGGGCGGGGGGAGGCTAGAGAGGGGACGGAGGGAGACTCAGATCTCTTCCCCACTCCTCTCACTCTCCCCCACTGGTGTTAGCCAGAAAACTCTTGATTTTAAATTGAAGTGGCTTTCAGGCCCGTCCCCAAACCTGCTTCTGTCATTGGGTGCTATTAGGCTTTCCCCAAAGACTCAGACAGACAGTTGAGATAAACTAACAAGGTTTATTGAACAGTAAACAAGGTAAATATAACTGAACAAAATAAAATAGGACCCCACTACAGGAAATAGAACAAAGGTAGCTGGACTGTGACTCCAGGTAAGTAAAAGGTAAGAACCCAGGTAACCTGGAGGAGTGTTACAGGGACTGTACCATGTCTTGCAGCTTGAGACCCTCATGGCAGTGCCTGGATTCCAGACTTGATCTTATGTGTCTGGAACAACCGAACCAGAACAGCTGGATCAATCCTCCTTTTGTTAGGTCCACTTGGCCTAGCAAACCCCTTCCCCTGCTCTGTTGTGGATGTGAGTCCCAAGTGGAGAGGAGTGACAGGTAGATGTTCACTCCTTGTGTGCAAGTGTGTCACTTCTCACAACCCTAAACTACAATGTATGGACCTGGTGTACCCGTCTGAATGACTATTGTACTCTACTACTCAGATGGGCAGTCCCAAGCAAAGCCAAAGGCAGCCCTTAAATAACCTGCCATTGAAGGGCAGACTAGAATCACGTGTCTGCTTTCACTGGACAAACTTAGGTCCCCTGACATCAGGTTTCCCGCCAAAACACAGAAAAGGGCGGGAAAAGGAGGGAGAAGAAAGGCAGCCAAAATGGAGTCCCAGTTGTTGTTTAGACTCACAAGATGACGCTTGTACCCAAAATGGCATCTCAGAGAATTAGACCCAACACTGGGGCATGTATAGAGTGCATAATGCCCAAGAATAGGAGTAAGGGGTGGCACCTCTCCAAGGCGAAGTTTGGTACCCCCCCCCCAACTAATTCTAGCCTTTTTTCACATGTGATGTCGGGAGTGGGGTATCCAAGTTGTGGCCTAATGCACAGTGAGCCCAGACTGTAAGCCTGAGACATAATAGACCACCCCTTTCTCAAGAAGGAGGATGGAGTCAAACATGGATATGGGCCATGGCTGCCCAGCAGGAGGTGACCTGTGTCCAAGCAGTTGCCAAACAGGAAGCAATGTGGCTGCAGAGAGAGACCAAGTTCCTGTTGATGAGCCTGGCCACCCAAGACTGTGCTATGTTGCAGGAACTGGTAAACCAGGCGAAGGCCCTTACAGAGCTGGGCTGCGGCCATGATGGGATGCAGACCATAGAGGCCAGTAGTTGCCTGCAATAAATGATGCAAGAGGATGGGGCAGAGGCATTCCTTTTGTCCTTGGCAACAGGTGGGGCAGATTTGAAGAAATGTTGGTGATGCCCCAAACTCCCAGGGCCTGCATCCCACCCCACCTGTGTAACACTCTGGGAGGGAATTTGGGTGGGATGGGGCAGAGGATTGGCATGCAGGAGGGGATGGGCTCTGGGAGGAAATGTAGGTAGAATAGGGAGGCAGGATGCAGACTGTAGGAGGGAGTTTTGGGGCTGGAAAGGAAGTGGAAGAGTGCAGGAGGGAGTTTGGGGACAGGAGTGGGGGTGTGTGGGAAGGGAGTGTGGGGATAGAAGGTGTGGCATTTACCTGGGGTACCCCCCCATAAGGCTGCTCTGGCAATGAGAGATGAGGAATCACTCGCTAAGGATGAGTAGGAGAAGCCATGTACTTCCAAGGCTGGGAGGTCTGCTGCAAGCACTGTGAGACGAGAGGGGTAGCG